CCTATTAATAGAGGGGTATTATTCCATGATGATTAAATCATGCAATAGTGCAGTTTATGTCAAAACACTGTCTTAGGTGGGAGATACTTCAAGGCTAGTGGCATGCTCAAAATTTCAAAGCCACATGCAAAAGGACTAGCTACTGTGTGCAGAGAGGTATCTATTGGAAATATATTTTCAGGTAAGGAAAATGTTAACTTCTGCAGTAATTTTGCTATGTTGTTATTTTTCAGGATTAGCACCATAAAAACAAAATGTAATGACACCAAAAAAAAGTTATTCAGAATTGCATAATCAAGAGCTGAGAAATTAGTGGTATTTGATGATCAATTAATCGACAGCTTATTAATAGATTGATACTTCATGCCCCCTACAATCTGTAAAAGCAAAAGAGAAAAAAGGTGGCTATGTGTTACCATCTTACCTTTTTGACCACTGCTTTATTCTTATGTTTTCCTATTTTCTTTCACCTTTTTGTTTTTTAAGTAATTTTCAAACTCCCCTTTATTTCTTACGATATATCTCTTCTGAATGTTGCCGTTTGCACATTTGCAAAAAATCATACTTTTTGTTTAAAATATATGTAGTTTCCACAAATTTTATGGACATTTGCTACTTGGCAAATGAATTGCCAAGTAGTGTTGACTAAATACCACTATGTGGTCAGTATTATGTTTGTTTTTCAAATGCAGTTATCCTACAATGATCTTCTGTAAATCAAATAGATTGATAATTAAATAACAAAAACATGTTTTACAATCACCCATAAAGGTAATAACATCTTTATTTAAAACATCTCTTGATTGTAGTTACAGATAATTAAGTAACCATTTAACCAATTTATTTATGTACATTGTTTGGGCCCGGCATGGCCAGGTGGTTAACAAGCTCGACTCGCAATCTGCGGGTCGCGGGTTTGAATCCCTGTCACACCAAACATGCTTGCCCTTTCAGTCATGGGGGCATTATAAAGTGACGGTCAATCCCACTATTCATTGGTAAAAGAGTAACCCAAGAGTTGACGGTGGGTGGTGATGACTAGCTGCCTTCCCTCTAATCTTACACTGCTAAATTAGGGACAGCTAACGCAGATAGCCCTCGTGTAGCTTTGTGCAAAATTCAAAAACAAACAAGAACAAAACAAATACATTGTTTGAGCAAGATAAATAAAAATGATATTCAATAACAATTTTAGTCACCGGAATATTTTGCAGTCACCTAACATACTCACTAAATAGTACTTATTTGATTGCAATTTTATTTGGTGAACATAATA